TGAAAAACTGAACTGACTGAAAGAAGAATCTGGGGAGTGAGAGAAAGAAGGAATTACATGAGTGGAACAGCCCCCAGTCTGTGCATAGCTGAGTGGAGCACAATGCCACACATACATATATACATATGAGTAGGTGAAACTCTGATAATTATAATTATATATCGTCACAAATTATATATAATAATATTATATGCTTTTTGATAAACAGATCACCGGTTCAATTCCCACTGGATACGAAAATGTTAAGCGCGTTTTGCAATTGACAAAACGAAGAAGAAAAGGTGAAAAAGAAAAAAAAAAGAAAAAAAAGGAAAAAAAAGGAAAAAAAAGGAAAAAAAAGGGAAAAAAAAAACACCAAAAAGGAACCAAGGGGAACAAACAGAAATAGAAAGGAATTTCAGCTAAGGACAGAGGGAGGACAAATTTCCAAAGGGGAGAGGGAGGGGGAGGCATAAGAAGGGAGATTTTGCACCTTGCCCTCTCCGATATCGCTATTCCCAGCCCGAAGGACCAGAACTCCCGGCCGAAGATGAAAATGCACTGCACCTGCCCCCATTCCTGAGCCAGGTCCAGCTTCACAAAATAGAGCCATCTGGCGCAGAAGAGAGATGAGTAGCCCACGTTCAACTGTGGCTACCACCTGCCATTTCCAGAAGAGGAGCCCATCACATCCGATTTATTTTTTATTTTTATATTTTTGGCAAACACCACAAAGAGAGGAAAATAAAAGTACGTTAGTCTCTTTGAAGTTAAAAAAAAAAAAAAACTTAAATCAAAACGAAATTAATCAGGCCTGCTTACCTAACTTCAATTGGGAGAGAGCTTATGACCATAACTTTCTCAGAAAAATATAACAAAACAAAACAAAACAAAACACTACACCACGCCACGCCATGGCACCGCACCGCACTGCACCGCCACGGCACGGCCCCACAAAACTAAACAAAACTAAACAAAACTAAACAAAACAAAACAAAACAAGACAACACAAAACAAAACAAAACAAAACAATACAAAACTAAACAAAAGTTACAAAACTAATCGCCCAGGTTTGGTCAGAGTCTTCAAACAGAAAAGGAAAAAAACAGCTAGCCCTCCCGCTCTGCCTTTCCCCAACAAAATAATAAAATATGTTCGAGAACATTCAATATTTATCCAAAGCATACTTGCAAGCACACGCTGTGTCGGGCCCTCGTCACCACCCACCCTGTACTGAGTACTACTAGTATTCAGCAGTCCATAACAACTAACGCTTAAGTTGCCTCCTGCTCACCCCAGCATCCGTATTTTTACTACTTACACGGGTTTTCCGAACTTTTCCCCTTCATTTTTTATTACTATTTTTTTTTCCCGTTTTGTGCCATGAACCTGGCTTAAGTGAGACATAAGATTCACTCCGCATTCACTCATGCACACAACACACTGATTGAGACGACGAGTACCATCGGATGCTGGGGTGAGCAGGAGGCAACTTGAGTGTCAGTAGTTGTGGACTGCTGAATACTAGTAGTACTTGGTACAGGGTGGTAACGAGGGCCCGACTACCGTCTTCACCCGAATAGAACACCCGGTCATTTTGAGTGTATCTGGACTGGAAGTTATGCCAAATACGGCTATAATGACCGGGCGTTCTATTCGGGTGAAGACGGTAGGCTATATGGGGATCAGAGTAGTACCGGGTGGGACCACGAAGGGTAGAAATAACAATGTGAAGAAGGATGTGAGGAAGGATGGAATTAGTTTGGGCACCAGCTACAGCGACTACGAAAGTGAACACAGTGTTATCGGCGTAACTGGCTGGCAGAACTGGGTACAAAGGTTGTAGGACAATTTAGGGCCTGAAACAGGTAGTACCGAGATAGGCGAGGTCATGGGTATAGCCGAATGATAATACGGGATGGAAGAGGCAGTGTATGAGGTAGTAACAGACAGGATAAAGACAGCTGTTAAGCGGCCTGAGGAACTGTTAGGTTACCCCCCCCCCC